TTATACATTGAAATTAAATTAAATTATTACTGCTGGAAAATAATGGTCGCACATATCTCTGACCAAGATCTCTACCTAAACAAATTTATGCTACCATTCCTCATATGTGTGGTCTGTCATTGTAACCTAGCAACAGGGCATGAAATTAGCACCGGCCCACTGGCATAACGGGAAATTATTCGGAGGGCCGGTAACATTGGCAAAACACCGGCCCTCCGAGAAGGTGGTTTCAGCTGTTAGCGAGTATACCTACATTTTTATTTATAATTATAGCATTAACGAGCAAATAGCCTACATTACTGTTTCACTTGATTCAAACACTTCGGACATGATTCACGATCTGCATTATATAGTCCGTTCAACAGCTACTAAGTGATGCCGCACACTACAACATTTTTCGGACAACAACCAAACAAATTTCCGCTTTGACCTACCTGTTCCAAATAGAAGACCGGTATTTAGCGATCCAACCCATGATGTTAGACTGGCCGAGCTGCCGAAAACGTCTCTCAATACAACGAAGTAAACGCCAAATGTGAAAGACATGCCGACATGGATAACATGGCCCAGGAAAGTCGAGAACAAGACCATCCATGCCCACCCTCCATCCTGTCTATAGAGTTTGGCCATGCTCAAAGTTTCAAATTGGTTTCACTCTTTTCCAGTCATCAATTGAGCTGAAAGTATGCATATAAATAATGTGGGTTCATGTGTTCATGTGTATTAGTTCTGAATACATACAATACATTTACATTTTACAAGACAGGATTCCTGTTGGGAATAAAAATGAACAAGCCAAATTATTGACCTCCAGGCTGCAAGTACCAAGGCATGGAGCCTGATTCCATGGTCATGGACCACACTTCTGGGTGCTCCCCTGATAACCTTGCTGGCTGCACCGCTATACGGTCCACGGATAGGCTACGGACTGTATATAATTAATATAACCTAGGCAGCTAAACAGTAAACCTGCCAAAACCTATTGTCAAACTAGTATGGGGTCGCTACGAGTACTTCTACTTCTACTTCTACTCTATATTGGCCACCATCAACAGCTGATGATTCTGCCAACGGCTATAGCTAGCCATGTGGAGTGACCTAGCTTGGGTAAAGCCAGATGAGACGGGATACTAGAGAAGCGTTGCCGAAAGGAGGTGTTGACCCGAAGTGCTGAGCGCAGATCTTGCGCGCAGTTCCGCGGCAAGGCGCACGCGACCGCGGGAACGTCCTACGACAGTATGCAGCGCTGGCAGCTATGGATCCGTGTGCCGAATGCTTAGGCCGGCGCACGCATCCATAGCTGCCAGCGCTGCATACTGTCGTAGGACGTTCCCGCGGTCGCGTGCGCCTTGCTGCGGAACTGCGTGCAAGATATGCGCTCAGCACTTCGGGTCAACACCTCCTTTCGGCAACGCTTCTCTAGTATCCCGTCTTATCTGGGTGCGCCATTTCTGTTTTGGAATTCATTCCGCGTTCAAAACGCGTTGAGT